AATGAAATAGAGGGCTTTTAAGCATTGCTGATGAAAAAACCAGAGATGAATAGAAAATGTGACTTTCGACTTCAAGACTCAAGAGAAACATAAAAAGGTAAACATGAAAGAGAAATCATAAAGGATTCAATAAGAATTCCTACATGGGAAGACGATACTTGTAACTCTTAAGATCTTTATCATCATTAGGGGCAGTTAGAAGGAGTATGCATAGACAGGGGGCATGGGTGTGAATTGGCTATGATGGGATGATATCCACACAAATAAAATTAAGGGATGAGAAACAGGGATGTACTGGGAGAAGGGAGAAGGGAATAGAAAATCTGACTTTCGACTATAAGACTCAAGAGAAGCATAAAAAGGTAAACAGGAAAGAGAAACTATTTTCACATTAGTCATGTTGTAAAGAAGAATTAGAACCAATGGGAGAAACCATGAGAATAAAAAAAACAAAGAAAAAAAAGAGCAAATAATACGCTTCAATCTGCATTCAGACTCCATAGTTCTTTTTCTGGATGTTGACACATTTTCCATCATGAGTCTTTTGGAGTTCTCTTAGATCCTAGTATTGCTGAGAAGAGCTAAGTCTATCAAAGTCACTCATCACACAATGTGGCTGTTACTGTGTACAATGTTCTCCTGGTTCTGCTCACTTTACTCAGCATCAGCCCAGGTTTTTCTGAAGTCTGCTTGCTCATCATTTCTTATAGCACAATAGTACTCGATTACATCTCTGATAAAGGCCTCATTTTTCAATTTTATATAGAGAACTTATTCAAATGTGTAAGAATACAAGCCATTCTCCAATTGATAAATGGTCAAAGGCTATAAACAGGTAGTTTTCAGATGAAGAAATCAAAGCTATCTATCCTCATATGAAAAAATGCTCTAAATCATTATTGATGTGAGAAATGCAAATTAAGATTACTCAGAGGTACTACTTCATACCTATCAGACTTGACAGAAAAGGAAAATGGCAAATGTTGGAGGGGATGTGAAAACTGGGACACCAATGCACTTTTGGTGGAGTTATGAACTAATCCAACCATTCTGGAGAACAATGTGGAACTATGTCCAAAGAATTATAAAATTGTGCATACCCTTTGACCTAGAAATACCGCTACTAGGTCTATATCCCAAAGAGATAAAAAAAGAAAAAGACATACATACATACATATATACATATATGTGTGTGTGTATATATATATGTATATATATATATATATTTTCTTTTTATAGCAGCTCTTTCTGTGGTGGCAAAGAATTGGAGATTGAGGGGATGCCCATCAACTGTGGAATAGCTTAACAAGATCTCATATATGATTCTGATGGAATACTAATGTGCCATAAGAAATGACAAGCAGGATGCTTTCAGAAAAAACTGGAAAGACTTACATGAGCTGATGCAAAGTTAAGTGGCAGAACACTGTAGAGAGTAACAGCAATAGTATACAATGATCAACTATGAATGACTTTAGCTATTCTCGGAAATGTAATGATCTAAGACACTTTCAAAGGATTTATGATGAAAAATGCTATTTACCTCCATAGAAAGAATTGAATGAGTCTAAATGCAGATTGATGAACTTTTTTATTTTTTCTTATTTGGGGGGGTTTGGAGGAGTCTGTGTTTTCTTTCACAAATGACTAATATGGAATTATGTCTTCCATGACTGCCCATGTACAATCTGTATTAAATTGCCTGCTTTCTCAATGATTGGGAAGGGAAGAGAGCAAGAGAATTTGGGAATCAAAATTTTAAAAAACTGAAGTAAAAAATTGCTTTTACATGTAATTGGAAAAAATACAAAAAAAAACCCAACCCCAACAACTCCAAGAGGCCATAAAACTTATAGACTACCCAGATGCCATATGCCTACATACCATGAATATTTTCTTCAAAGAAGAGAACTTGAGGGTGCTGGACATGGCAAACACTGTAAAGCATCACAAGACAGAAATGGACTATCCCAAAAGAAAAGAAATAACTAATTATTGATGCAGGAGATTTGCTAAAATCAGACCATCAATTAATCAGAATAAAGGCCAAAATCAACATCAAATAAAAAATTATGAGAATACTAGGCAAATATTGCAACATTTTAACAAGACTTATTCAAATAAGCTGCTGACCCTATAATGGGAAAAGGGAAAAGAAAAAGATATGACTTCATTTATCATCATTTTCTAAAGGAGCTTAGCCCATGAAAAGTAATCACCATAATAAGAGACAACTACAAATATTCCATCTTTCTGCCAAGCAGAGGGCAAGGGCAACAATATTGATTCAAAATACAAACTTATTTGCAAAACTCCATGTAGAAAGTTGGTGAAAGATTGTAAGCAGTTCTGCCACATAAAACAACAAAAATCAGTAGTAACAGAAACAAACCTAAAGAAATCTTAGTGTAAGACCCAACTGAGTTGCATCATTACAAGAACATTTACAAAAGATTTGGAAATAGGACAACAAATTTATCCATGTTTCCACAGTGGTATTCTTTTTTCATCAAAAGGGACAAGTGAACTACCACATTTAGACTATAACACCTTAGCCCCAGTGCAAAGATGAAGTAAAGAAAGAGTGCTGGTACCAAAACAAGCACACCCCAAGGAAACCTGCTAAAGGCAACATAATCACTTGGGAATTGTTTTACAAAATATCTCAGGGGGTAAAATACCAAAATAATTGGAAGATCTCAGATAATTCTCTGAACAAAAAGACAATGGAAAGAAATGCAGTAAGTACAGATACATATATCTACTTCCTCAACTTTTATGAACATTATCTACACCTCTGAGTATACCCTTAATGAATATATAGGAAGAGAACAGACAGACTCACCTATGACTCTTTAGAGCTAAGTGCACAATTGACTGAAAGGTGTAGGGACTACCATTGTTTTCACTGCTATCAGAACAAAGATGGATTCTGTAGAATACAATCTTAAAGGAATCTCTCATGAATTTTAAGCATCTATGATTCCCTGAGAGAGATATTTTTTGCTAAAGGTATTTTCATCAGTGATATCAATTACCAGATAAAAATGGAAGACTGATTCCTTATGTAAGGTGAGGTCCTCCAGATGTTAGTGGATTATATTGTGTTGATTACATCAAGACTTAGCCCATAAGTGGGCTTTGTAAGATATATGATTAGTGAAAAAACCAGAAGAATCCACAGAAGGAAAAGTAAATGGATGAAAAATGACAATTGTTCAGACACGCATGTTCAACACGCAGTTGAATGGCCAGTCAACTGAGTTAATATATATGGGACAAGTATTGCAGATGAACAAATGACCTGGGGCCAGAACTGAATGGGAAGAAGAGAGGGATTAGATTGCATTAGGTAAACTGTGCAGTGTTTTTAACAATCTTAAGCTGCTTCCCAGCACAAAACCCCCTTTTTTTTAAAATTCAAATATTCTTCTAGCAAAGATGCGTGGCTATGAATACTGGAATACTATTTTTCCAATGAATCAAAGGCAAGCAACCGAAAAGGCAATGCAGTGTGTGAAGGTAATCTTCAGCACATCTGCAATGAAGACCTACAGGAAAGAGATAGTATAAAGGACATCTTTGAAAAAAATGCATGAGTGGATGTAGAGGTGTACCCTGTCATGTGGCAAGAACATGTGAAAACAGATGGACTTTTCTGTTAAAAAAAAAATGTAAAGCAAGCAACATGCTAATTAAGGCCTCAATGGATGAGAGAAGATCCTAGACAGAACTGCATAGAATGAGAATATATTGATGGACTGCAATCTATACCAGTGAAAGGAATACCCACATTCCCATAACACCCAGAGTTACGTTGAGGTATTGAAGCTCTGACAAAATATATTTTCTGGTGGTAGAAGGGAACAATAAATCCATATTTTCTATCTTTTTTGGACATTAAAAATTAGGCTAGCTTCCTCTATTAGTTGGTGGAGGAGAAAGCTTTTTCTCTTTCATAATTAATTGAGAAAATGCTATTGGATGCAAAGCCTATTATTGTGCATCTATTTTTTTTTAAACCAAAACTATCCAAATCCATTGCTACATCAAAAGATTGCCATAGATAGTATATAAGATGGTTCTGCATCACGAGGTATGGTTTTACGTGAATTTCCAATAATCTAAGTAACTACTATGTTAATATAGAATTGGGGTGGCCAGTGGCATCTGAATAATAGCTAACCGTGAAAATGCATTTCCATGGACTAATTTAGAGTTCCTCAAATTGCTACTTGGTAGTTCGCTGGCCACTAAACTTTTGTCCTTCAGTAATCTTAGGCCAAGAAATTTCTTAACTTTTCCTGACCATCTAAATTAAAAAAACATACACCAGATGACAAAATATTCTCACATCTGCATGATACTTCTCAATTAACTAGGAACATTTGGATAACTTCACTGTGCAGAGCAAACTCATCTAAAATTAACAATTCAAAGAATAATTCACAAAAATTAAGCCACCAAAATATTAATGCCTTTTCACTGGTGGCTTACCCAGTTAATTTTCCGAGCACTTATTAAGTTTTTCCAGTTCCCAAAGATGCTATTCCTTGACTATAGTTCTTAAGATGGATTAGGAAACAAAAAAATAGTTACAACTTCTTCTCACATAAGGAAAAATAGCTAATTTATTTTCCAAGAATTAGGATTTTCCCGATGATTATTAGTTCTCATAAAGAAATAGGTAATTGACTCTACTATACTGTTGCAGAGTCTCACAAAATCTTCATTTCTAGCATATCAGTGATTAAAACTGATATCCTTAAAGTATGTGCACCAATCTAGGAAAGTAAGTAAAAATAAATGACAAATTTGAGAATATATTTGATGTTGGGAGCAAGGTAAGGAAAAAGAGTTCAAATAAATAATAAATGAGTTCATTCTGCATCAAGAGGAATGGAGAGAGAACTTAAATCATTTTTCAACAATTATGATTACATAAGGGCCACAAAACAAGAAATCACTTCGGCAAAAGTGAAGAAAGATTTCCTACATACCTCATTGCCACATTGCTGCCGTCAATAACTACTGGTCTCAGATTCTCACCATCATCTGTCATGATCTCCTGAAGTGGGGAGTCAGATCTCTGAGATTCTAGGGAAGATGTTTCTCTAATTATGCTGCTGTTAATTGTACTAACAGTTGGATCAGTTTCACTTTTATTTCCAAGTTTGACCAGTTCTCCTAAGATATCATTGATTAAAGCATCAGTACCAAGTTTATTTAGCACAAGCTGAACCTGTTCTTCAGAATAACCCAACTTAAGTGCAAATTCCAGTTTGGCTTGGTATTCTTTCACCACATCAGGGGGCTTCTTCACTTCCTTAGGCGTTATCTGTGTCTCCTCTGTTTTTAAGTCTTGCAAGATTTCGTTGCATTTGAATATGTGAGGCTCTAAACAGGGAGACCTACGTAGCTGTCTATGAGTCTTAGTTAACAAGCATGGCTCTACTGCAATGCTACCCAATTGTTCTGAATCATTATCAGAATTTGTGTTTTCTTCCGAATCACAACTGGAGCTTCCAATATCTTCAGATACCACCTTTTCTGCATCTTCCTTTCTAGAGTTAACTTTATCCATCGTTGGTTTCTCCACCATTGACCAAGGTACAATAGCACTTATGTGTGTGTCAGTGCTCTCCACATAAAGGTGGCCTAGGTCATGCCCCAAGTGATCCTTCAAGCCCATGAAGCTGCTGCATGTACTTGACTCCACTTTGCTGTTTTTCCTGTGTTCCTGGAGATAACCTGCCCTGTATTCCTAGGAAAAAAAAAACAAATTGAGATATTAGGCAACTACTTTCACATATCTGAAATTTCACATAAAAATGCAGTTTAACATCAACTGACATAACTCAAAAGTAGATGGTCATTCACATACATGAAAATTTTGTCTAGGAGTGACATTGAGAATATTCAAAACAAAAAAAATCTTAGTTACCATATTAATTATGCTTTAGGATTAAGCTAGTGAAAACTACCTCCCATTTTCTCTAATATAGTTCATAAAAGTTTCAATTACTAGATACCCAACACAGAAAGACTAACTATTTTTATTCCTTAATCAATTGAAGAAACATTTCTTAAGAGCTTACTATGTACCAAGTGCTGGGAAACCGAAGACAAAAATGAAGCAGTCCCTACTCTCAAGTAGATTACATTCTATCAGATGAGACAACAACATACAAATAAAACCAAAGTAAATTTTTTAGTTGAGGAAGAAGAGGCGCTAGCAGTTGGGTGGACTAGGAAAAAAAGTACACAGACAATACCTAAGGAAGTGAAGAAACCCCCTGATGTGGTGAAAGAATACCAAGCCAAACTGGAGTTCGCACTTAAATTGGGTTATTCTGAAGAACAGGTTCAGCTTGTGCTAAATAATGAAGGAAGTACAATTTCAGCTAAGCCTTGAAGGAATCTTTAGCTTCTGAGAAGCAGAGGCAAAGAAGGAGTTTATTCCAGGTAGGTGACACAATTTATACAAAGCCACTAAGGTGGGAAAGCTCTGAGTCAGGAATAGTAAGAAGGCCCATTTAGCTGAATCTTACAGTGAATGAAGAAGAGTAATATACAGTAAGGCTGGTAATATATGGTAAGCTGTAGCAAGTCTGTAAGGGGTTTTATTTTTCTTTAACTTATTTTTTCTTTAATTTACTTTTTGATTTTCAACATTCACTTCCGTAAGCTTTTGAGTTTTAAATTTTCTCTCCCTCTCTTCCTTCCTCCCTCCCCAAGACGGCGTGCAATCTGATATAGGCTCTACATATACATTCCTACTAAACATATTTTCACATTAGTCACATTGTAAAGAAGAATTAAAACCAATAGGAGGAACCACAAGAAAGAAGAAACAAACAAAATAGGAGGAAAAAAAGGAGCAAATAGTATGCTTCGATCTGCATTCAAACTCCATAGTTCCTTCTCTGGATGTGGATAGCATTTTCTATCATGAGACTTTTGGAGATGTCTTAGATCCTTGCACTGCTTAGAAGAGCTAAATCTATCAAAGTCAGTCATCACACAATGCGGCTATTACTGTGTACAATGTTCTACTGGTTCTGCTCACTTCACTCTGCATCAGTCCATACAAGTCTTTCCAGGTTTTTCTGAAATCTGCTTGCTCATCATTTCTTATAGCACAACAGTATTCCATTACATTCATATATCACAACTTATTCAGCCATTCCCCAATTGATGGACATACCCTCAAAGCCCAATTCTTTGCCACCACAAAAAGAGCTGCTATAAATATTTTTGTACACGTGGGTCCTTTTCCCATTTTTATGATCTCATTGGGATACAGACCTACAAATGGTATTGTTGGGTCAAGATGTATGCACATTTTTATAGCCCTTTGGGCATAGTTCCAAACTGCTCTCCAGAATGGCTGGATCAGTTTACAACTCCACTAACAATACATTAATACTCCAATTTTCCCCATGTCTTCTCCAACATTTCTCATTTTCCTGCTTTATCATGTTAGCCAACCTGATAAGTGTGATGTGGTACCTCAGAGCTGTTTTGGTTTGCATTTCTCTAATCAATAGTGATTGAGAGCATTTTTTCATATAACTATAGACAGCTTTAATTTCTTCCTCTGAAAACTGCCTGTTCATATCCTTTGACCATTTCTCAATTTGGGAATGATTTTTATTCTTATAAATTTGACTTAGTTCTCTACATATTTTAGAAATGAGGCCCTTATCAGAGACACTAGCTGTAAAAATTCTTTCCCAGTTTTCTACTTCCCTCCTAATCTTGGTTGCATTGGCTTTGTTTGTGCAAAAACTTTTCAATTTAATGTAATCAAAGTTATCCATTTTGCATTTCATAATGTTCTCTATCTCTTGTTGGTCACAAATTCTTCCGTTCTCCATAAATCTTACAGGCTTTCCCAGTTTGCTTATAGTATCAGCCTTTATATCTAAATCGTGTTCCCATTTTTACTTTATTTTGGTATACGGTGTAAGATGTTGGTCTATGCTTAGTTTCTGCCATACTATTTTCCAGTTTTCTCAGCAGTTTTTGTCAAATAGTGAGTTCTTATCCCAGAAGCTAGGGTCTTTGGGTTTATCAAACAAACTTATAAACCCAGAAGCCCATGAGCACCAAGATGAGTTAACAGAATAGGGCTTAATGAAGAGGCTATGACTGCCATTGGTAGAGGGAGTATACACATGACCAGATTCTTAAATGAATAAAATGTAAGGAATAAATAAATCACTTTAAGATTTACAAAACAGATTTTGCACAGTAACCTAAAATGTTGTTTAAAGAGGAAAGGCAAACATCAATCAACAAAGACAAAATGAGCAATGGTCTACACTATTTAGATTGTTTTTAAGTGCATGATTATTCCTGATCATTAGCTGACACAAAACTTTAAAGTTTACACTTTACAGATGAGGAAACTAAGGCTCATGGAGGTTAAATAATTTGTCCACATTCCAACAAACACTAAGTGTCAGAGGCAGGGTAGAAACTCACATTTTTCCCAATGCTAAATCCAGCATTTTCCCAAGGTATACCAGTGCCTCACTATACTACAGAAAGAACTTCAGTATTCCTGTGAAAAACCACATGTTCAGAATAAATGACCAGAAATTAATTTGAAGATAAATTATATTATACTTCAACAGCACCACCCCCACAAATGAGTATTTCATAAACACTGCCACACAGAAATAAGAGCGGATTTAAAAAGCTTCACAAGACAAAACTATAAAAACTTTTCACCTCTGTCATATGAATAAAACAATATGTATAATTAGCATTAATTAGTCAGTCTACGGGGGTGCGAGGACATGGACAAGAAGATGTGGAAAGGTTCTATGGATAGAGAGAGTTCATGACCAGCCAAGTGACAGAAGGGATCACATAAAATAAAAGGGATAATTTGATTACACAAAATTCACAAGTTTCTGCATAAACAAACCAATATGGCTAAGATTAGAAAGTAAACAGTTAAATGAGAAAAATTTTATCCAGCAAATTCATATGATAAAAGTCTCACATCCAAGATACAGAAGGAACAAATTAATAAAAGTAAGACCCATTCCCTAATTGATAAATGGTTTAAAGATATGAATAGGTAGTCTCAAGGGAGGAAATTCAAGCTATCTACAGTCATATGAAAAAATGCTCCAAATCATGGATAACTGAAGAAATGCAAATTAAAGCAATTCTGAGATTCTACCTCATGCTCATTAGATGGGCAAAGCTGACCCAAAAAAGAGAAAATGAGAAATGTTAGAGGGGCTGTGGGAAAACAGGCATATCTGTATGCTCCTGGTGGAGCTGTGAATTGGCCCAAGCATTCTGAAAATAATTTGGAATCATGCACAAAAAGTTATAAAACCATGCATGCCTGCTGTTAGGCCAACACCCCAGAGATAGGAACAAAAAAGGAAAGGAAAAGGAATGGTCTTTCTTATGTATACAAAAATACTCATAGTAGCTGTTTTCATAGTGGTAAAAAACAAACAAACCCAGAAACTAAAGGAGTACCCATCAATTGGGGAATGGCTACACAAACTGTGGCATATAAAGGAACACTACTGTGCTATATAAGACACGAGGGAAAAGATGATTTTAAAGAGCCATGGAAAGGCTTGTATGAATTAATGTAGAATGAAGTGAACTGAACCAGAAGAAGAATTTATATAATAACATCAATATTATAAAAAGAAAAAATTTAGAAATACTTAAAAGCGCTTTTCAATTAAATGATGAACTGTGATTCTGGAGGACTGAGAATACTGCCTATGTCATAAAAGAAAAATGCAGGAAAAATGCATTTTTGGATATGACTAATATTGGAATTTGTTTTACTTGATTGTGCTTATGTGATACAGGGGTTGTCTTTCAGTGAACAGAGGGAGAAAGATGAATGCTTGATAAGTGAAATTTTTTTTAAAGAAAGAAAAGTCTTCAAACATGGGATTGGGGTTGGAAGGCAGGGGCAGGGGAAGAGGTCAGTGCAAAGACATTTTAGTTTCATGTGTGAGAATGAGCAAGAAGGCCTGTGTAGCTAGATTGTAGACTACACGAACTCTAAAGACTGGAAAGGCAGAAAGGGGCCAGGTTGTGAAGAGCTTTAAATGTTAAACAGAGTATTTTATATTTGATCCTGGAGATAACAAGAAGTCACTGATGCTTACTGAGTAGGGGAATGACATGGTCAGAGATGCACTTTAGGAAAATCACTGGTATACCTAAAACACTGGTAGATTTGGAGTTCAAGGTCCTGCGTTTAAACCCAGCTCAATACCTGTGAAACCTTGGGCAAATCTCTTGCCTCTTCTTGGCTTCATTTTCTCAACTATGGAACAAGAGTGCTAAGATTAGATGTTCTTTGAGGTCCCTTCTAGTTCTGTGATTGAGCCTATGAGCAAGATGAATACCATGTATTCTATAGTTAACTGAATTTTGTAGCAGAAAGATATTGCTCCTATACTGCCCTGGAGAAAACTAACCCCTGCAATATTCACAGTGGTTCATCATTTATCTTATTCTTTCCCCAAAGGAATATATATTTTTTGCTTTAAAACATTTAAAAGTTATGGTTTTTTTTTATCTTTTTACTTCTAGCCTCTTAGAAATTTTATTCCTTCCAATAATCTGTTTTTGAAATGAAATTACTTTCTCATGCCATCTCACTGTAACAATGTGTTCTAGTTCTGCTATTAAGGTAATTACTGTGTTGTGCATCAGAATAAAATGAGTGAGGCAGTGGGTTTAGGTGAAAAATGTCAGCCAAGT